ACGTGAAGTGCCTCCTCTTAGATAGGGATTATTCGATACAAGTAAATACAAGTAGGACTTCCATTCTTTTGATTTCGATACCGAGTACTTTGGTACTCGTATCGAATCGAATTATCAAAAGTGTAAACACTGCCCAAAGTCACAGAACATATATTTATGAAGATAAAGGATATTTTGTGAAGTCTATTGAAGAACTTGACTTGGATATCTCACAGCCATCAACATCTAGCGGTTCTAAATTAGAAAACGTGTTGGAATGAAAAAGTTTTGATGCTAGTACGGATAGCAACATACCTCCACAAAGGACTTTAGAAGGCGCATTTTTACAAGTTTCGGCCAATAAGGAAAATAAATTATTTCTAGTATTTTTTCTTTATTGATATAATAAATATATCTATTTTGAAGGGAGGTTCAAAATAGTGCAGGCTTTAACGCTTTTTGTTTGCAATTATTGCCTTCTTACATTGTGGAAGGAGAAGCATTTTTACGCCTTCTGAACGTGCTTCAACCTAATTTTAAGGTACCAACTTAGTGCAGCTTATTTAAAAAAAATTGGTATGCGTCACGGTACGCTCGACAAAAGTGATAACTTCATATAATTATAGAAATCATAGAAAACATAATATCGAACTTGTTTCACGCATGATTGCAATAATAATTTTATTTTATAATTTTAATATTATCCTTGGTTTAATCATTTATAAATATATCAGGAATAGGTAAAATGTAATTTCCTTTTGAATGTAAAATATCTTTTTTATTCGAATGAACCAAAAAGTGCCATTTTGCGAACAGAAGCGATCATCAAAAAGAAGCACTTTTCTTTAGCGTTTATTTGTTTTACTTTTACGCAAGGACTTTGCCGCACAGTGTGCGACAAAGTAAATGTGACACTTTGAACTTGCCACTGTCATATATTTTTTTGTATTTTCATTTGAAAATAACCGAAATGCTTTTTTAAGGAATTACGTAGGTTTATCAACAACTATTGATCCTATTTTCAAGTTTACTTACAATTTGTAAATTATACCTTTGTTACAAGTTCAGTCTCATAATCGTTTTAATGGCCTACTTATCTACTTTTGCGATGTTGTCACACGTAAAACACGATCTTTTTAAGAAGCGCAAATGTCATGCAGATTATGCAACATGCACCATCCCAAGACCACAGGTGTTTCAAGTTGAAAAAGTACTTAAACTTAATTACAAACTTCAAAACATGACATTTAAAAAAATGACATTGCCACAAAATTTTAAATATGAAATCGATGCATTTTATTATTCGTGTAATCTTTCATTCGAATAAAAAATAGTGTTCGATACGA